GTTGTTCCTGAAACCACGCCTTCTTTCTTTGCGTGCACATTTGGGCGGCATTATGCTAATATTTTCACATAGTGACGTAGATATGTGGGGGCGTGTTAGAACGAGCCGTTTTAGGTAGGTGTGGTTGACTCTTAACTTTTATAAAGAATATCTCTTTGGATTTGAGACTTTAGTCTTTGCAACTTTACAGATCTTCTTTATGCACCAAGAGCTTGTAACACTCCAAAGAGAAAGGAAAACTTGAAATCGCATCATATGACCCCTTTAAAAGAAGTCTCTTCTCAGCAAGGCTGCTTTTAATTGTACAGTAAAAAAATATATATATACATGCCTGATTCAAGAAGGGGGTTTGATGGCCAAAAATTATTATTTTACTAACTTATTAATTTTAAGTTAAGTTGTGCTTTGTTGTAGTGTCTGCTAGAATGTTAAAAATGTTCAGTGTTAAATATTTTTAAATTGTTGTTTTGTAATTTATTTTTTTATTTGAAAAGCAAGAAAAAACAGTAAAAAGTACATTTTGGCTTTTTAATTTATGCGATGTTGAAAAAAAAATGGGCAAAATACATGGGGAAAAAAACTCAAAACCATGGGGAAAAAACCTTCGGCCTAGTGTTTAATTTTGTTCGGTTTTGGCTTCGGCCAAGAATTTTCATTTCGGTGCATCCCTATTGGTGACCATTGGTCCAAAAAAAAAAAAAAAACCCTAAAACACAGGCTGGTGAGATACTTCTCAAAATATCTTATTTTATGTTTCATAAAAGAAAGAATGTCTACAGTTTTAGAACGAGTTAGTAAATATTGGCAGAATATACATTTTTGGTGAACTATCCTGTTAACAGTTACATTTTTTAATGAATTACTTCATGGATTATAGTCTTTTTGCATCAGGTATTTTTTTCTTTCTCCACTTTGATGCCAGTGCTTGTCAATCGTCCATCTGTTTCATGAGGTGTGTGCTGTTTAAAATCAGGAGAGACAAGTTGTCTGTGACTTTTAGGCCACTTGTGGCTAATTAGCCTTGTATTTGGCTTTTAAGTCTCAGTTGTGGCCCCACATATGTGTTTGTGGTCACTTTTCATCACCTTATGTTGGCGTTTGTTGATAATTGTTTTACTGAGCTTCTCTAATAGTGTTCATTGTTATTCCGGTGTTGCGGCGTGTGCCGAGCACATCACCTATGCCTGAACTTTCAGGCGAGATTCTTCCAACACTGGAGAAGTGGGTGCCAGCCTGCCACTTCATCATTCTCATCAGCTTCTGCTTGTAGCCTTTGCATGCAAAAAAGTAAACAAAGGGATCCAGGCATGAATTTAAGTTCATAAGACACACCGTAATATGCAGGGATATCTGAAAGGACTGTAGCTCCATGCAGTCTGGAGCATAGAAAAGTTTTCGGATCATGTATTGCAAAAGGTCTATATGGTATGGGCTGAAACACACCACAAACACAAATACCACTCCTGCGATCACTCCTCTTGCTTTTTTGGTCCTTCCAGAACGTTCTGTCAGTCGGTTCGACTGTGCTGCTAGATGTAGTTTACGGGTCAGTATGGAATAGCAGGCGATGATTGTCACCAGTGGGACTCCAAAGCCTAAAACTACCCCCACGATCAGCATGTAGGGCAGCCCTTTGAAAAGACCCTCAAAATTGGGGTATTCCATACAGGTGATGCTGTTGTCATGCTCCGTTTTGGTCAAGTTAATGGTCAGGAGAGGCAACGTCTGGGCAAACACCAGCAGCCAAATGGCCAGACACACTAGTCGCACTTTTTTCACCTTTCTCAATTTCACCAGACTCTGAGGAAACACCAGCGCCACAAAACGATCGACTGCCAGACAGGTCATGAAGTTTACTCCAGCATAGCAGTTCAAATAGAAGAGCAGTGTTATGGCTTTACATAGTCCTTCCCCCAGGGGCCAGTGGAAGCCAAGGCCGTAGTAAACAGCACGGAGGGGAAGCGACAGGCAGAACAGGATATCAGACACAGCCAGGTTGGCGGAATAAAGCGTGATGGAATTAAGTTTGGTGATGTTGGAGAAGATCACATGAAGAGCTAGGGCATTGCCTAAAAGTCCCACTGGACATATGATGGAATAGGCCAGAGGTATGAGAACTCGGGCCACTGGACGATGGTCATATAAATTGGTGCAAGAGAAGTTGTGCTCTAAATCTGGGCTCATCATAGTTACACACAGGAGAAGTCACTGCAGAGAGAGGCAAATGGTATAACAGAAACCACTGTTCAAAAGTTTGAGTTTAGGTTATGCATTTATTTGATCAAAAATACAGTAAAAAACGGCAGTACTAAATATTATTACAATTTACAATAACTGTTTCCTATTTTAATATATTTTAAAATGCAATTAATAGCAAAGGTGCCATTACTCCTGTCTTCAGTGTCAGTTAATATTTCATATCTTTTGTACAAACCTTATTTAGGATCTACATTTTTTTTTAGGATTCATTGAGGAATAGATTTATTTGAAATAGAAATCTTTTGTCACATTATAACTTAATACTATAACTTAATTAGTACTATTATAAAATGACAGTGTCTGTACTGTCACTTTCATTTGTCCTTAATGAAAGTATTAATTAATTTAAAAATTGTTACTGACCTCATGCCTTTGAATGATAGTGTACATTTTACTATGAATAGTAATTCTGTTCTTGATATTGTTGTTTGTAGTAAGTATGTGTAGACTGACGTCTGTAGTTTTTAAGCTATTTCCCTTTTTCATGTATAAGGCTTGTTTCTCCATGTTTCTGTTGTGTGTTTCTGCTTTGCTTAAGAGGCATTTTGAAATGTATTTTGAATGAAAACTGCTTTATATGTTATGACTACCTTAAGTGAGCATTTTAAATATATTTTGTGAATATTTATTTAATTATTTATTCAATTTCATGTTAGAAAGAAGGACAAATGCATACATATTTGAAATTAAATACAATCAGTAACACTTTACAATAAAGTTCCACTTGTTAACATTAGTTAAGTACATTAGTTCATAATATGAGCTAACAGTGAAGAATAGTAAATCATGAATTTATTTTAGTAAATGTTAATTTGAATATTTACTAATACATTATTCAAATAAAAATTTGTATCCGTTAACATTATTTAATGGACCTGAGCTAACATGTACTAACAATAAAAAGTTGTATTTTTATTAATAACTAATGTTAACAAAGATGAATAAATACTGTAACAAATGTATAGTTCATTATTTAATTTTAGTTAATGCTTTAACTAATGTAAAGTGTTACCGTATGATCAAATATATATAAATCTAGCTGTTCCTAAGCTTTTAGGACTTTACAGAAATTTTTATATTTTGTTGAAGGCCATTGATAGTGAAGAAAAAAATAAAAATAACTTCACACATGGTCACCATAAAATTTGATTAAACCTTTACAGAACCTTTTTTTAATGTTTGGGAATAATTTCATACATACATTTTCCAAAACATATATATTTTAATTTCTTCTACTGTTTTTATCAAAAATGAAATGAAATGAATGCACTTACCAGATAGCAGAGCAAATTTTCACTCAGACATTGGTGCTACTCTAAATCTGTCTCGCATTTAAAGCAGTATAAAATGCAGCAAAAGTGAGAATTCAGCATCTCTTCCTGCCTTTCTCACTGTCTGTTAGTCTCTTCCTCTCTTTCCTCTTATCTCTCTCTCTTTCTAGCAGTGTGGTGAGTCTGCTTAAAGAGAGAGTTCACCTAAAAATTAATATTCTGTTTCTGTCACCATTTACAACAGGTTGTTTCAAACCTGTATGAATTTCTTTCTTCTGTTGAACATAAAAGAAGATATTTTGAAGAATGCTGGTAACCAAACAGTTGCTGGTAGCCATTGACTTCCATAATATTTCTTCCATAGAGTGTACGTCAATGGCTATCAGCAACTGTTTGTTTACCAGCATTCTTCAAAATATCTTCTTTTATGTTCAGCAGAAGAAAGAAATTCATGCAGGTTTGAAACAACATAAAGGTGAGGATATTCATTTTTGGGTGAACTATCTCTTTAACTCTGTATGGGGAAGTTAAATTTGAAAGTTAAATCTTGTGGCTTTCACTGAGACATCTAAACATTTTTATGTCAGACATAACAGTTACATTTGATCTGTATTGAATCTGCATTTAGAAACATGTTTAGATTCCTACATCACAAAGAATTACATTAAAACCAAGTAAGGTAATTATTGCACAAGTCTAATCTTTTTTTTTTAGGAAACTGAGGAAACTGTACAAAGGAATTGAAGTAGTTTGCATCAGCTGTTACCCCATTTGTCATTTCTGCACTTCTTAAATGGTTGATAGACCATATTCTGAATTTTGTAATAATTGTTGCGTCTTTGTATGTTGTTCTGAGAATTTGAAGTTCATGTTGTTGGCTTATCTGCTTTCCTTCATCTTGCATAAAAACTGCTTACCAGAGAGCTTGCTGTCTGTCAGCTTTGTCAATAGATAAATTCTTAAACGGATCAATTTTGCAATGCAATCAAACATCCTGCTGTACTACTTATTACCTCTTTTATTTCCACTTTAATGTGTATAAAACTATGTGGTGTTATTAGGATAACTAGGAAAACAGGTGACCATTCACAAATGCATTGTACATAACAGTGTTTTAGTCTATGGAACATTATGGAAAGGAGTAGAAAGAAAGGAAAAATGTTATTACTTTCTACTTAAAGGGATAGTTCATCCAAAAATAAAAATTCTGTCATTCACTCACCATCAAGAGTTACTGATCCCCATTCATTTCCATAGTATTTTTTCCATATTTTGGAAATCAGTGGGTACCACCAGCTGTTGGTTACCATCATTCTTCAAAATATCTTCTTTTATGTTCAGCAGAAGAATTGACAATTTACATTTTGGGTGAACTGTCTCTTTAATGATTACACAACATGACATTCATTTCAGAGTCACTTAATTTAAACATACAAATCCAACATGAATACAATGTGTATATTTCTAAGAGCTTGGTACATGCATTTTAAACTAGACTTTAAAAAGATTTTTCCTTTTCTTTATTATTGGCAATTGATGATTTTCACATTTGCACATTTCCGTACTTTATTGCCATCTGAGGTTGAGGATTCACTTGACTTTGCCTTCTGTTTCTGACTCTTTTCATTTTCTCTCGCTTTCTCAGACTGGGCCCAGTCTTTGCTCTCTTTGTGCCTTTCTACAGCTCCATCCCACGTGTTCAGGTCACTCAGCTGCTCGGACACGTTTCAATCACAAACAAGTCTCTGACGTACATTGTGGGCGCACAGGTCAGCTCAGATTACCTTCACAAATCATCTTCACATTAGTTTTGTGTAGTTTTCAAAAAGATTTCCAATTCTGCTAGTTTATCACAGAATCTACACACAAAAGTAAAAGCCATTGCTGTGTGACATCTAGTAAGTGACATTTACGCTGTTTTGACAGAAGTGAAGACAAAACTTGAAGATCAAACGGTTAATAAGGTGCAGGTTTTTTTTTTTTTTTTTTCCAAAAACACTAGATTTGTGTTGCAAGAGTAAAAACCAAAGATAAAATGTTTGTAACATAACAGAGACAAGACATGAGAAACTCTGTAGCACCTGAAAACCTATTCAATGTGGTCTTTGCTCTGGTCATGTTTTGAGCTGTTCTGCGATAACAGATGAAGTTCCACACCCACTAACTAGAAAAACAGACAAGGGTAGATGACTTTACCATACTTTTTTTAGTCATGCATTCACAAACATGGCTTTAAAGGGGTCATATGATGCGATTTCAATTTTTCCTTTCTCTTTGAAGTGTTTCAAGCTCTTGGTGCATAAAGAAGATCTGTAAAGTTGCAAAGACTAAAGTCTCAAATCCAAAGAGATATTCTTTATAAAAGTTAAGAGTCAACCACG